AGAATAAATATTGAGCAGAAAAATAAAGATGCTTGCACATTAAGCTCCTATGGAAAGATGCTTAACAATATTTGAAGATGATAGAAAAGGCACTATAACATTTGCTTCTCCTAGTTTCTTTATAATAAAATGCTAGAAAATCATTTACATTGAAATTATCAGAATTTGGTTTTCACTTATGTTATTTAAATTATGTTTTGCCAGGAATGGTTTTACATGCATTTACAAGAGAACTAGTTTGGTCTAGTAGTGGTTAAGACACCAGGCTAGAAACTAGAAGACTGTGTTATAGTCCTGCCTTAGCTATGACAGCTGGCTAGGTGACTTTGGGCCAGTCACACACTCTCAGCCCAGCCCACCTCACTGGGTTGTTGATATTTTCAGGAAAATAGGAGGAAGTATTAGGTATATTTACTACCTTGAATTATTTATAAAAAAATAATAAAGGCAAGATAAAAATAAATAAAAAATCCTGCCATACTTTAATGGCATAGTTAAATAATTTTTTAAAGTAATGTAGTTGAGAAGTCCTAGCATGCAATGGGCCATCTGATTATAGCTTAATCTGAAAAGTAGTTGTAGTTGCTTTACAGAAATATATTGCAATATATATAAAAATAAATGTAGGTTGAACAAAACTATTCTTAAGAATAGAATAGAAATAGAATACAATAGAATAACTGTTGGAAGGAACCTTGGAGGTCTTCTAGTCCAACCCCCTGCTTAGGCAGGAGAATCTATACCAGTGATGGCGAACCTTTTAGAGACCGAGTGCCCAAACTACAACCCAAAACCCACTTATTTATCACTGGGTGCCAGGTGAGTGTGGCCCACTGGATGGCCGTGGCTGTGGTCATGGCAGACTGGGTGAGTGTGGCCAAGGTGGGTGTGGTCACCTCAATGTTGTTCATGAGGAGGGACACCTATGTGGGCCTGGCAGGGTTGGAAGAGATCCAGGGGGTCTCTGGCAGGTGGGCGGTGGGCAGGAGGCTCATCCTGAGGGGTGAGGCAAGGCGAGGCAGGGCGGGGGTGCCATTGTTGCAGGGCAAGGCAAGGCAGGGGTCGGGGTGGCTGCTGCCTGACACCATCGGTCCCCGCACACAGAGGCCAGCAAGCGCATGGGGACCGACAGTGTCCGTCAGCAGCCACAGCCTGCCAGCCCATCAACCGGCGCACTCTGGGGCTCCGCAGCCCGCCTCCAGCAGTTTAGAGAAGCCGCCTCTGAGCTGGATGGACGGCCGACAGCTGAGGAGGCGATGCAATGGGTCATGCCCGGGAAAAGGAGAGCATGTGAGGCCAGGAGGCGGGGAGGGAAACCAGCCATGTTGGAATGCATCCGGTCACATGGGACCTCGGCGAGTTAGCAGGCAGCTAGTTGAAGAGGGACAGTTGCCATCTCCAGGGCATGGTGCGCGTGCCCACAGAGAGGGCTCTGAGTGCCGCCTCTGGCACGCGTGCCATAGGTTCGCCACCACTGATCTATACCATTTCAGACAAATAGTTGTCCAGTCTCTTCTTAAAAACCTCCAGTGTTGGAGCATTCACAGCTTCTGGAGGCAGGTTGTTCCACTGATTAATTGTTCTAACTGCCAGGAAATTTCTTCTTAGCTCTTGCTTCTCTCCTTGATTAGTTTCCATTGGTTGCTTCTTGTCCTGCCCTCAGATGCTTTGGAGAATAGCTTGAATTTCTTTGTGATAACCCCTAGTGCAGTGTTTCTCAACTTTGACAATTTTAAGGCATGTGGACTTCAACTCCCAGAATTCCACAGCCAGCATTGCTGGCTGTGGAATTCTGGGAGTTGAAGTCCACATGCCTTAAAATTGTCAAGGTTGAGAAACACTGCCCTAGTGTCTGAACCTCCATAATTATTTATTTGACACACTATGTATGTTACTTTTTTGCTAAAGTTTTGTTTAAGATGGCAATCTGGTAAATGTATTTATTTAGTTCAGGAATCAAATTTCCAATATATGTAGATGAAAACAAGAATAATATAAAATAATTCAGACAATAGAATAAGTCCATATTAGAATAGCAGTTCCTGAATTCCACCCATTACCACCTTACAGAAATAGCAGTAAACCAGAATTTAGTGGCTATTCTGCAGATTTCTAAAGCTAATTACCTACCAAAAATATTTTCCTTACCCAACTTGCCCAGTTATTAGGCATAAATGCCTATACATACACACGTACGTACATACATACATATTGCAATAAAGCATGGGAGATTTGTTTAATCATCACATCTGTAAGGAAGTCTATGCAGAATGGACAAGATATTCACTAAATAGATGTCTAGTGCAAAACATCATTACCTTTAGCCTCTGCAATAATAAGATATATCCCAGCCATCTCCGACATCAGGCTCAAAGGACACAATGTTTCTTTGTTTGGATTACCACATTTTAACCCCTAAGAAGTGAAAACATTGGGCTGGAAGACACCAGTATCCTGAATCTGAGTCTACACCTTCCTTATTCTGTCTTCCAGGATGATGCAAAATTATCCATGAAGATCAAGCAGGCCAAAGATATCTCCATAAAGATAAGCATAAACATATGCTTAATATGTTAAGCAACATAGTCTAATAACACATCTATAAAAGCTAGTCTGGATTTCAGGCATGGGAGAGCAATTGACATATACCAAGGGATGTGAACCATAGCTCTTAAAACGTTTATATGAGTTGCTTCTAAACATCTTGGAGCTTTGTAGATACAAAATTATATGCAATAGAGCAAGATACTCAATACTTTAAAAAAAATGAAGCAGCAGAAACATAATTGCTTCTGTGATTAGCAAATCTGGCTTATATCAAATTACACCAGTTCCTACTCTACTTGCTAATAACCAGAAAAGCTGAGCAATGGAGTTATTTAAATAATTTATTTCTGCCCTTCTCCTTTACAGAACTGAACAAAACATTTAAAGGTTCTGAACAATAACATAATTCATATTCTTTTTTGCTCACATTCACAAGAAACTTAAATTTTAATTAATATTTAATATTTAAATATTCATGTTTAATACGTATCTTGTGAAATAGTTTTATGAGAGACTAGAGACATAATGGACTCCAATTAAAAGTAGACATCCCAATTATGTTATTTTACTGTGCTTAACTGTTTTTTAAAAAATTCTCACCTCTCATTTTTTGCTGGTAAATTGTATTCTGTGAGTATGCAATTAAGTAATACATGCTCAAATCTGCTTACAAGATAGCACCAGGCCTTAATTTCAACCGATTCATCAAAGCTACTGCAATAAACAAAAGTCTGCAGATTTGAAGAGGTCATCGTTCCCAGCCGTAGATGTTCCCAAATTGCTCTAATATCCTTTACTATATGTTCAACTTTAATTAGAATGGTGAATGATGGGACTTAGTCCTTTTTTTTTTCCCAGTCCAGAGGGAAGGTTAGATTTTTATTTTGGTATCGCAGCTTGTGAACTAAGAGAACAAAATCCTCTTCTGCTTCCAGAGGCCTTGCCACTTTCTTCATGCTTCTGCCTGCAGCTGGAAAGAGCATCTTCTCTCTGATCTCAAGACAAGTATAGAAATGAGGTACTTAATAAAGGCAAGTTCAGCAGCGAAATCCTTTTCTTCAGCAAAAACTGTTAACATGGTTTAACAGAGGTCTGTTAAATTCATCCACCACTTCAAACTTTGACATCTAAGGACTAGCGCACAGCTGTAACCTTATGTATGCTTGCCTGTTTAGGAGCACATTCATTGGAATATACTGATAGTTCAGAGTAGACATGTATGCGCCGGTGATGTATGCCAGCTCAGCTAACAAGCAAAGACTTTATTCCTTGAACAGGTGCCTAGATTGTTGAATGGACTATTATAATTTAAGTTTTATTCATGACAATTAGTTTTAAAGTAGTTTGGATTTGATTCTAGAATAGTCATTTAGAAAACATAGAACCCAACTGCTTCATTATCCTGGGAAAATGAACTGTTGGAAAAATTTACATTCACGTTCTCTATTTACTACTCCATGTATTTCAAAGCCTTTTGGGAAGTGCATCAGAAATGTTGCATAGCCTTGTTTACACTAGTATGGCTGACCAGCTAGTGTTAGCTGAACATGGTGTGTGTAGAATGTACTGAATACTTCAGCAGATATGTAAGAATCTCAGCTTAGAGTCTCTATATATATATAAACAGTATATAAATATATATTGAATACTTTTGATGTCTATGTTCAATAATTATTCATTATGAGTAAATGTGCATATGGACATCTGAAAAACTGGTTCATCCAAGATGCTTTATACAAGCTAATTGGCACAGGTAAGGTCACTGGAATGTTATCTTTAGAATGTTGGCACTATCTACGATGCCATTGAAGCCATTAAATAAATTTCATAGACGTAGCAACTGGTAGTACGAATATCAAAGCGTCAAATTTTGCCATACAGCTGAGTGAGTATTTCTTCCTTACTTCAACTTTACAAATATATAAAGTGAAGGTAAGAAGTTCCCAATGAAATGGAGAGTCTCCAAGAGCTCTGTTCGCAGAACAATAACCCAGTGATTGGATGCGAGGCTTAAAGGAAGGGGCTTTGCTTATAGTAAGTTCAGAAGGAACTACTTACAATACAAAGAAAAAGCATTTGGCATTGTTCAGTTTCGATTTGAGGTTACGAGTCATATTTACAGCGAGCTAGCTATTCAGAGGTATGACATGTAGGAATCAAAAATTATTTGTGATCATCTCCAGGACTTTAGATTAGAGGATACCAATGTCCACCAAACCTGTCTAAAAAAAAAAAAGGCAGCTTCTCAACACAAAATCTATATATACAAACCTCACATAATGCCAGCGTTCAAAAATTCTGAGGAAAATTATTTTCTCAAATCTTATGATTCTTACACTATAAGCATGCCACTTTATGCACACTGACTTCCAAGTGGGTTCGTATCAGGAGGTACCATCAGGGTGGAAATCTTTGTAGGAAAAAAAAGCAAGACCAGAAGAGGAGAGTATTGTTTAAAAAGCCTGGGGTGGCATCTCTAGTTAATTGCCAGTGCAACGCCAGTGGCATTCCAGGACAACTGGCTTAATAAGGCTTATAATCTACTGAATTCATAATGTTTGGAAGGTTTCCCACAAGTCCTCTTTGGCAGCAGCTGTTTTAGTTGAAGAAAGTGAGATGAAAATGGTCTCATTTATGTTTTGTTCTCTGAGCCAATGCCTGCAAATTAGCAGGACCACCCCAGACTGTTCCAAATATCTCTTTTTCTCTCCTCAAGGCAGCTTCTAATTGTAGCTCTCTTCCTGCTGAAACAACTTTCTTCACAGCCTGAATGACCTCAGCAGGGCCTGTGGTATATGGCTTAAGCCATGTGTGCATTTCTCTCAGAGAATCGTGGTCATCAGATGAGGACAAGATGGAATCTACCAAGCCAATATGAAGAGCTTTCTCTGGATCCAGTTTCACAGCACCACTCAACAACTTGAGGGCAGGACTGCTGCCAAGGATTTGGGTAAGCCTGGCAGCTCCTCCCCAGCCTGGCACTAAGCCCATCTGCTTGTGGACAAATCTAATTTCACTTTCTGGAGTCATTAACCTGTCAATAAAAAAAAAATTCTGTTTAAAGTGTTGCAATGATGCCATTTTAGCTTCATTTCAATGCAAAGCACAGTTCTAGATAAAAGTTGCTGACAACATCTTTTAATACTAGACACATTAATCAAGCATCAGAAAATAGATTTGCTGCAGTTGTACCATAAGTAATACAAAACAAAGAGATCGTTTTTAAAATATCCCCTAATCCAGAATTTTCTAAACATTATTATTTAGATCTAAATGTTGACATTCTGGTTCACAAATTTATAAAGATCTTAAAGTTCATGTCCATCATAGCATATCTTGCTCGACTATTTTCCTCCTGCTTTACTTTTACGTTTGCAAACATTTAAAATTGATAGTTGCAGTGGACAAACACATATCGCACTGTTACAAAGGTGGTAATTAGGTATTGGGGAAAATTACAATATTATCAATTGTCTCTTTTTCAAGTGAAAATTAAAAAATATGCTGGAAATAACAGAAGAAAGCATACACAATACATATCCAAAAGGTTTTTTTAAAAACTTTTTCAATTGTAAATGCCTAGAGCTGTCAGGAATCAGGCGACATATAAATAAATAAATGTAGTTCAAGGGAGCTATTACCTCCAATGAACTGGATGCAATGCTTCTGATAAAACCCCAAAATAAACTTCTTTCTCACATTCTGCTGCTGGTCCGCTAGCACTTTTAGTTCCTGCTTTCACACACATTCTCACTAAGCCAGATTTTCCCAAACCTATATCTATTCATTTAAAATTAAAGGGACCATAAACATCATAGCTGAACATCATCCTACCTGGTCAATTTGGCTCAGTGTTAAAATTTGTCAAAATGATTTTGAATTGTGCTGCTGGCCTCTTAACGCATTAGTTTTGCCTCCCCCAATGTTATCTGTAGATCTGATAAGCACCCCTTTTATTGTATCAGGTAGATCATTTTTAAATACGTTGAATGACATTGGGCTGAACACAAAGCTCTGGAAAACTCAAAAGAGTCCTTTCTTTCAGGTATGTGCAGATCCATTTATGAATCCTCTTTGGATGTGGTTGTTTAAAGAGTTTCAAATCCACTAGACTGTAGTAGTATCTAGTCCACATTTATCCAGTTACTCCACAAAAGCTTCTTCTAATATTTGCTTTTCACCAAAACTCATGCGCAGCCAAAGAGGCAGGCTATGCTTTTTAACCATGCAAAGTTTGGTATATGTGTTTGTATACATGTCATCACAGAATTGGGAGGAGCCATTTAGATCATCAAGTTCAGTCCATGCTTAGTTCAGGAATCAGGATTAAAGCATTCCTGGCATATGGCCTTTCTAGCCTGTGATCTTCCAGTTGTGCTGAAGGAAGGCTATCTCTGTACCTTGCCCTGCGTAACTACACTTACACTGTGCACGTCTTCCCTAAATAAAACAGACTGGAGACTTTAAATATAAATCTTGAGTTAATCCAACTGTGAGGATGATTCCTGTCTCCCTGCCTTTCCGTATCTAAGAGAGAGAGAACTTCGGTGGCTCTTTTCATCACCTTGATCTCTCAGCTAAAGACACAGCCACAGGAGGACAAATAGAAATATCAACTCCACTCCTTCTGCTCTTCATCTCACCTAACCAAGCTCAACATTAAACAGAAATCTATTATTTATTCACTGAGTTGTTAAAGAGGAAATCATATCACACATTAGGAAAATAGTACAAACTTTCAATAAACAGATTGATATCTATCTCTTTCGTCAAAAACTTCATGTCCAAATGAAATGAAGACATAAACCCTCAAACTGAGCAGCTGGCACGCTAAAATATCAATCCAATTCATCGTTGACTGTAATAAAGCAAGGGCACCTCACTGGGTTCAACAGCAAGCTAAAAGCCATGTTCTGATAATAAAAGCTACAATTAGAAAATGCATTTACTGTATGAGGCGGGTGGTTCAAAAGAAACAGTTCAGTTGATTGTAATGAAATCTGATAAAACTTATGAAAGTGAATAGTATTGAAAAATGTATCCAGAAAAATATAGGGGCACTAGGATCTCAAAATCTCTCTAAATATAGCATCTGAAATCCAGCATAGATGGGAGGAAATTCATAAAACCAAAGTACAACATAATATAGTATGTGAGATGCATAACACAGACATACACACACAAAGGGATTGTAATATCACAACAGCAAATGTAACGTCCTGGCCTTGAATTAATTTTAAACTTGACCCAGATAGTGATGAACACTGAAAAGAAGGCTAATATTTCATGTAGTTAGTAGAGAAAAAGGTAGACCATACAAAGCATTTAACTGAAACAAATAAGCAATACTTCAGAGAGGAAACTGGATAGCTTGCAATATTTGTAAGTAGGAAGGGTAGGCAAAATTTGCTAAGAGTAATAATGGATGGGGAATTAATCTACACCTTGGAAAAGTAGTAGGGAATGGTTAACTGCAACTGTAGTCAAGACTCTGCTATTTATCACACCTTTGTGGAATTATACTGTCAGTCTTTATTGTGCTTTTTTAAAAAAGGGGAGGGAAAAATACAATGTACCATACAATCCTGAAGCTAATATCACTCTGCAGAAGAAAATTAGCACCGTTCCTAGGAAGCTAATGACACTGCTACAGAGTGTTGGAATAGAACCAAAGACCAGAATAGGCCTGCCAGTGTAAATATCTACTTCTGACAATAGCTACGTTTCTCCACAGTTCATATCTTCTCCAACATTTGCTTGTGTGGTGCTTGGGATTGTGGAGTGATGCAGTTTTATGGTGAAAAGGGCATATGGGTCAGAAAAAAGTGAGGACACAAAATTAAGGGACAGGAGGAGGCTTCACATGAGAGGCAAGTATAAAAGCATGGGACCAATATCAAAATCATCAGGGAAGAAGACAAGCCTGAAAATAGACAATTGTGGTATGATTTGACAAAAGAGTCAGGCAGGATTAACACCTGCATCCTGTCACATTTACCATTCAAAGGCCTGGCCACAGATTTCCTGTTTGGTTTGTTCAGACCCTTTATTTCCTTTTATATGGGGGAGCTCAACAGATTTTATAATAATGACTTATTTTAAAAATAGTAGACAAAATATGAATATATGGGACCCAGGTGACAAAAACAGATTGTAGGAAGAAATGTATGCTAAGTACTAGATCAAGTAACAATGGTCTGAATAAGGTAATCTCTCTACATTTTAAAGGCCTCTAATGATGGATTTTATCTGGCCTTTAAAAAGGAGAGCCATCAGTGAAAATACTATCGTCCATCCGTTCATCCATCCATCCATCCATCCATCCATCCATATCTATCTATCTATCTATCTATCTATCTATCTATCTATCTATCTATCTATCTATCTATCTATCTATCTATCTATCTATCTATCTATCTATCTATCTATCTATCTATCTATCTATCTATCTATCTATCTTTCTATCTATCTATCTATCTATCTATCTATCTATCTATCTATCTATCTATCTATCTTATCTATCTATCTATCTTCTATTTATAGCTACTTCTATAGTTACCAATCTCAAAAAGTGACTCTGGGCAGTGTACATATAGAACTATGTTTTGCATTTACAGACTGTTGCAAGGCAAATGGCATTTATATTAAATCAGGGCAAATCAGTCTCCTGCACCCCTTTCTCAGCCTCCTATAAACGAACAGCTGGGCCAGAAGAGGACAAGAAACCCCTGGTATGCTGAGCATCACTTCTACGGTTGGCATGGATACACAGAGTTGTGCCTACAGATGAGCATGTGAATATACCTCTGTTCAAATCTTCCTTTCCTACCATTCTTGCCAAGTATGTGTGTGTTTATATATACAGTGTCTGTCTGACTGTCTGTCTGTCTATATCTATGTATAGATATATAGGTATACACATACACATACATACACACACACACCATATATAAATGCACATAAAATCCACCTGGTCTTTTTCCAGTTGTGGGAAGATTAAGACATAATTAAAAAAAAGAACTCAGGAGAAAGACAGCAAGAAAGGCACACAGCTTTAGGGGATTATTTAAATTTAAGGTTTGGGAATGGTAATTAGGAGAATGTGCCAAAAGTTTACACAAATCTCTACCCTTGTTCAAGTACACATCGAGGATATCGTTTTAAACTGAGAGAGGTGCAATTATCTGCACTATAGAAATAGAAGAAGCATGAATTGTGATGGGTGCAGAGAGACATGCACCCGTACATCCTGTTTAAATTGTATTTCCAGCAACTAAGACCCAAACTGGCATATCTTACTACTGCACCCCAAACCTTCAAACTTGGGTCATATTGTAGGCTTTGGGTGGGGAAAAAACCCATCTAGCTTGCCTGAACTTCTATATTATTATCCCACAGTATATGGATGTGTTTATGAAGCTATCAGTAATTAAGCTTGACTCAAAGGAGACTATCTTAAAGCATACATATAGATGTAATTTGGCAATGGAATGAATTACTTAGAGGAATAGTGTTTTGTTTTTTGTTTTCCTAACAGTAAAAGCAGCTCAATCATCATTTAGAGTGTTCTAACTTCTGATTTCCTCCACTGAATAAAGGCCTAAACTGAAGGCCTTATTCAATTCTAAAGCTCTACGGCTGTATGAAAGAATTATAGTGTGTTAACACTGGCACAGAATTACTGTATACATTTCTGTTGCTTAATGGTTACAAATCACAATGGCTATATATTATTTCCATTATCATAGACCCTTGGTCTCTGAATGCCAGTTGCTGGGGAGCATAAACAACAGGATATTGACTTCCTATTTGGGCTAAATCTTCCTAACACACCTGGAAGGCCAATGTGGAACAGTATGCTGAAAAGACAGGCATTCTGCCCAACTCAGTCAGCTTCTTGTACATTTTTACAAGCTCAGGAAGGGGCTAGCTAAATGATACCGCTTTTACCCCAGTTTATTGCTAGTTGCGCTGAGATGAATTTTAAAAAGATCAAAATTACTGTAAAGCCAGATCTTTAGCTAGGAGAAGAATTAAAATGTTGTAAAACAAGATTCCATAAAATCCTATAAATTATACCGTGTTTCGTGACTGATATTAAATTTGTGGGTCTAAAGCAAAGGGGGTAGGGTGGGGGTTTTTTTGAGGGGGGAAGAAAGCTAAGGAAATTTCTGCATTGAGTTGTTCATATCTGACCTTGTTCAGAGCCACATATTCTGATTAGGGCTTTTTGCCAGATTTATATTATGTGAGCTACCTAATTACATAGACTGAAGTACAAAGAATTACATATGGGTCTTATGTTTCAAATTCCAATCACTTGTACTTGCTAAAAGCACAGAGAAAAGATGGGTGGAATGGGAGAATTCTGAACAATGACCAAAGAAAAAAGGTACCCAAAACTAACCCTATGTCTTGCAGACATTGATGCAACTGACTTAATGCAGAACATGTGGTAACGGAAGGTATTTGTATTCCTCACAAAACATTCTCCAAGTGAACTTTACAACCTTACAAGAAACACAGATATAACTCTTATTATATTTAACATATGACTGCTTGTTCTGAATATTGTATTCCATAAATAAATGTATACTTACTGCTGTAATTATCTGATATTCTGATCTGGTTGAAAAATCTATGCTCTAAATATATAAAAAGGGAAATTTTCATCACCCTCCAAAGCTTTATAGGCTGCAGATTGATTTGGATAGGCCAGGTATATTTGATCAATGTCCTCCAGAGGACAGAATCTCATTGGAATATCTCAGGCAGGTATTTATGATAAGCTTAACCCACCTGCAAGGGAGAGAGTTTGGGGCACCTGAGACACAGTATGGGCTATGTAGAGGGACACCAATAAGGGCACCTGGGATATGGGTTATTGGCATGTAACAACCTAGAAAGGTGCATGTAACATGTCCCGAAGGTGCTTTTTCAAAAGGTAACTGGACTGTCTTTGTTTTTTCTCTTGAAGACATTTTGCTTCTCATCCAAGAAGCCCTTTCAATTCTGACTGAATGGTGGGGAATGGAAGGATTTATATTCCTTTTGAAAAAGCACCTTTGGGACAACCATGACCTGGATGACTGAGAATCTCCATAGACATTCAGCATTAAAATAAGGACTTGAAAGAGACTTTCTATTTTACTATTAACAGACAGTTTTAGTGACCTAGACCAAAGAAACAGAATGACATGGAAGGGAAATTTCAGCTGATATACTTAGGAAATATGAAGGGAAGCTTGTGTAATAGAGAATGTTAGGTTACTGCAGTTTAAGTGTATTGCTTTTAAACAACAAAGATCTAATTCTCAGGCCTATAACCACAATGAATGAATCACAGTCAAATAAAAATAGTGGAGGATATTGCTTAACATTTTTAAAACAATTATAACTAAATGGAATATGAGTTCTAAATTATATGATAACTAAATGGGGTAATACACCTCTTGTTAGAGTTCTCTTAGGTTAGTGTTTTACAATATAACATTAAATAATCAAACAGTTAACAAGTAAAGTGCACACATTAAAATATACCTTGAAACCAGTGGTGGGATTCAGCCAGTTTGCACCACTTCGGCAGAACCGGTAGCTAATTTTGTGTTGCCCAGGCCCAGAATGGACTTCTGGAAGCAGCATCCACACAGAGAACCAGTTGTTCACATATTTTAATCCCACCACTGCTTGAAACAGATGATAGAGATAGATAGATAGATAGATAGATAGATAGATAGATAGATAGATAGATAGATAGATAGATAGATAGATAGATAGATAGATAGATAGATAGATAGATAGATAGATAGACAGACAGACAGACAGACAGACAGATGATATAATAATAGAACTAAAGAAAAATACTAAAATATATCAGAGCAGAATAGGGTATTTAGGACAGGAAAGAAGTAAGAGTTAAGATAACACTGGATTTGCTACCACATTTCCTTTTAGGACAATTTGAGGAGGAAATAGCATCTGAATGGGGCCCCAGAATGCAATGCTTTGAAGCTTACCTGAAATCACATGCTGTAGTTAATTCTGCTCCCCCACCTAGAGCTTTCCCTTGAACTAATGCAGCTGTGATTAGAGGTAACCTACATAAAGGGAGAAATCAAATAGAAACAATTCAAATATTACAAATCTGAAAACACCCAACATTACTTAAGCATATATTGACCTATTCATCTCGAATACATTATCAAGCAATTCAAGTTGAAGACTAGCAACTGCACATGATCTGTGAAGATATTTCAATGAGGTTAAAACCCACCCCCACTAGAAATCCACAATTAGCACCAAAAGTCTGAAATCTTTTTCAGATAATGTTAAGGATGGAACCAATCCATCTGCATTAATTTTAATATTGCTTCTCACTGTTTTGTAGTAAAACACTTGCCCTAAACATGATTCAGAAAACAGCATCGGAAGGGGGTTGTACAATCAAAATCAACAAAATTAGATTGTGAAAAAGAAGATTTTGAATAAAACTTAAGAAATTGCTGAAAATGTGTTTGTTAAAGAAAAAAAAACTCTTCTCCATGGTTCTGTAAGAACAATTAGATATACTAATTTTATTCAATGTGGGAAGACAAAGACATATAGGATAAATGATCCCAAGAAATAATATCCTTACTATACAATTCTCAATATTTGCATTCACATTTCAGTAATATTTCCTTTGAGAAACCTGTTTATATTTTTTTAGATTAAAAATCTATTCAAGGTCCATTTCATCAAATACATTCTGAATATATGCTGCAATAATGCATAATTTTTCTAAACATGCTCATAATCTTGCTGTAAGCACTAATTAATCCAAGGAAAGTTGGAAATACACCAGGGAACACTTCATCCATCCAACCAAAACACCTAGAGTAAGTCTGCTTTAGAACTCATGGGCTGGGATCCTCAGCAAAGTGTAAGCCTGTAGTAACCCAATAGTCACTCTTCACCACAGTTATCCCAAAACTCTAAAAATATGCTGTTATAATAAAGCTATTCTTTATTATTGTTTTGTTTTAATGTGGGTTAGTTTCTAAGGATCTCTCTCCCCGAGTCTCTATTAATTGGAACAGAATACAGATACTGTGGCACAAATAAATAAATATGAGGAGAGAATTTCCCCAAATTATTTGTGAATATATCCCAAAATTAATACACTTTTTCCTTCCATTTTTAAATCACTGGAATGCAAATGGACAAAAAATGTGACTTTTAGCAACAGATACAAAATTCAATTTTAGGGGGATTTTTTAGATGTGCTTATTAAAACCTAGCCACACAGAAAAAAATTAAGAATACACACTTCACAGAAAGAAGCTGGATCAGCCTAAGACAGTGTTAAAATAACTTTCAACTGCCAATTCAGATGGCTTTTGTCCTTGGAAGATTGAGGGCCATCTTGTCCTTTATATATGATTGTATGTCTTGGCCCAGCCCTTCAGCACAGCACAACATTAATTTACTAAGCATTTTCTTCTAATTCTCTTTACTGTGTACTGTCTCAATGTACTTCATTGGTCCATTGTGTACTGTCTCATAATTCTTGTGTGATCTTGAACAGGAATTACTCAATGCTTTTTATCAAGTCCATGGAAGTGATAAATCTACAGCTTGTTAAAGGAATGTACTAAATGATGGGAATGGGATTAAATGTCAAAGACCGACAATATTTTCCACATCTCCAAGTAACCAGATCAAATGTTTCACCAACAGCCTTCATAAAACTGAAGTCAGAAATATGATATATAATTCAAGAGAAATATGGATCCCTGATCACCACAACAGATAGTAAAAAACATGCTGAAGAGTAGAATCTACTTATGTGGGAGCCTGGAGATAACAGATGGAGGATTAAACACATGTTTTATTCCCGGCATGTGTTCCATTCATGGATTTACGTAGGTTGCAAAAAGGAGACTTGCCAAATTTTCAAGATGATTGACTTCTATGACAGGAAAGATGGATTTGTAGGAGTTGGGTATGTATATTTTACAAGACCTCAACACTTCCTTAGTTTCTGGAATTTGATGTCTACAAAGGGCATATTCCCAAGTAGAAATTTAAAAAAAAGACCCTAAATCAACAAATTCTAAAAAAATCAAGATATTTTTAATAAGAATTAATTGTATTCTGTTTCCAAATATTTCTGGATCTACCATTATTAGATAATGCTGAAGTTTCATATATACCTTCATATTGTCAATGCTGCAAACATTGGATGTTTTTGCTTTGACAATATAAAGAGGCAGCCTTTTTCTTTACTTTGCTCTGCTCTTAGAATTAGAAGATACTGAGGGAAGGAGGAAGAGTATTTCCCCCAGTTGTTTTTAATAAGATAAGAAATGGCTGTTACAGAATGGAAAGGAATTTTGCCCTTCAAACTGACTGGAGAACATGATTATGACTGCTAATTGGAGGAGGGAATTGTGCCAGATACTATGTGCTAACGCAGTGGTTCTCAACCTGTGGGTCAGGACCCCATTTGGGGTCGATCGACCATTTCATGGGGGTCGCCAAGCAAGGCTGTCCGCCATTTTTTTTGTTTGCCATTTTTTTTGTCCGCCATTTTTTTCCCCTTTTCCGGTGGGTGCCTTACCTCCCTTGGGCTGGGCCAGCTGGTGGTCGGCCTGCTCCGTCTCTGCCGATTGCCAGATATGCCTCGGCCGGCGCAGGGGGCGGAACCACGCATGCGCGGCGCTCCCGGGCAGGGAAAGTCCTCGACTTACGACCGGTTGGGTAGTCCTCGACTTACAACCGGTCTAGTCCTCGACTTACGACCGGTTTAGTCCTCGACTTACGACCGGTTTAGTCCTCGACTTACGACCGGTTGGGGTCGCGGGATTAGAAAGGTTGAGAACCACTGTGCTAACGGGAGGGGAATTCAGATCTTGGCATCCACCATGCTGTGCCGACACTTTGTTTCACGATTAAGGACTTTTTAGGATAAACAATGCCTGAAAGTTCTTCGAAGTGTTTAGTTAGTCGGAACCTTGACACGTATATTTTGAGGGGAAAAATACACAAAATAAAATGTACTACCTCATGAGTCTGGTTAAGACGTTTTGCATGAACATACACATATTCATCCCATCCTAGAAAACAGAGAAACAAAGTATCAAGAAATATTCTAACAATAAAAATGGAAGAAGCTGCTTTGTATCTTTAGTGTTTAAGTATCTTGGTTCTCAAACATGCAAAGAATACATTTCCCAAACAATCTGCTCCATTTATTCATCCTTTACAGAATAACTTTTCAAGGAGCCTGGGTTCTTGTTGAAAGAGAGGTATGGAGGGAGAGTACTTTTCTTCTCCTATTCCTATTGCAAACAATTTGATAAAAATTAGCCCCAACGGTTACCAGAGATTCTATATTTTTGCACAATTTTAGAAGTATGTACAGAAAGTGGCACAATATCGTGAAGGTTTGTTAAGTTGCTAAAAACTGTTGTTTTTCTTTGAATTTTATTTCATAATATTAATCCTTCTTTTGACTTTCCTACCTGATTTGTTTGTTATTTTGTCATTCTGCAATACAGTATTATTATCAGGATTTCTTAACATTTACAAACTAATGTTTGATAATTTGCAGTGAAATCAAGATACTAATCTATACATTATGTAGTCTAAATATAGAAAATACAGTTTTCAAAGAATTTCAGAACATTTTCACATATACTGTAGCGCTGTCCTCTCTTTTTTTAAAGAAACCCTGCACACGTAGAGACTTGATCAGAGCTAAGGTCTACCTAGTCTGGCATTCTATTTTTGGTATGCAAGGGGTTTTACTCTTCACTATAATATTTGATAATAGATTTATCTCTACTCCCATGAAGCCTGAACTCTAGGCAGCTTAGAATAGAAATCTTTATCCTAAATTCAGAACAGTCACATTATACACACCCTATCCAGCAATCATCCTTCACCTGGTGCCCTAAAGTTCTGTGCAGTCAGAATGTGGACTATAGCCCAACTGAACAGGAAGGCACGAAGCTGAGAAAGCAGTAAGCAATAGCACCTAGACTTATATACTGCTTCACAGTGCTTCACAGCCCTCTCTAAGCTGTTTTATAGAGTCAGCATATTGCCCCCGACAATCTGGGTCCTCATTTTACCAATCTCAGAAGGATGGAAGGCTGAGTCAACCTTGAGCCAGTGAGAATCGAACTGCCAAACTGCTGGCAGACAGCAATCAGCAGAAATAGCCTGCAGTACTGCATTCTAACCACTGCGCCACAGTGGTTAGAATGCAGTACATTCTAGCGCAGTGAGAGGCTGCAACATAGCGCCTTTGCAATAAGCCAAATTCCAAGCTGCAGAAACCGGTAAACTCCCTCATTAACTCCTCAAAACAACACTCGTCAGTCATTTCCTTTAACTTTATTGCTTTATTGGCCAGCAAAGTAGTCAAATGGGCCAGTTGGTCAGCTGTCAGTGTATGATACGGGTGAGCGCTATGCCAATGAATTCTATGCAATATGATTTCGTTCTCCTATGCTTCCAGTTTACTTCTAAACTATGGTCTATCCAAACTGAGTAAGTTATATTCTGCCCTTACCTCTGAAATGGGCAAACTATTCTGAGCGTAATGGCCAAGCAGTCTACAACTGGTTGTTTAGCAATCACAGTTGGGATTGGGAGCTCTGTCGTAAAGCAAAGCAATTGATAAGTGGGAAATCACATGGCTGCAATTATGTTTTCCTTTTCCTTGCTCCTGCACCCTTTGGAAAGCTCACACGGGTGCTGGGATAATTAGCAAAAAGGAAATTAATGTTTCTACAGGTAACTCCTCAACTTATGACCATTTAGTTTGCAACCATTTGAAAAAAGGGCTTGTGACTGGCCCCCAAAGTTACAAGTGCTGCAGCACCCACGGTTGCATAATCAAAATTAGGGTGCCTGGCACTCACTTAGGAAAGCAGGATCACTTCAACTCCTGCCACTGCCTTGTTTTGGACCTCCCAAACCCTTCCCCATACTCCTGCGCACCTCCCATCCTTCATACCCCTAATTTGGCATTCCCTCTTCTTCCCACTTAACCATCTGTATATCTGGACTTACTATTGGGATTGCTAGGTGAAGTATGTTTCACTTTACAACTGCATTGGTTAGCGATGGAAATTCAAGTCCCAGTTATGTTCGTAAGTCAAGGACTTGCAGAGAGAGAAAGAGAGAGGGAGGGAAGGAGGGAGGGAGAGAGAGGGAGGGAAGGAGGGAGGGAGGGAGGGAGAGAGAGGGAGGGAGAGAGGGGGAGAGGGAGGGAGAGGGAGAGGGAGGGAGGGAGGGAGGGAGGGAGAGAGAGAGAGAGAGAGAGAGAACATGTTTCAGTGAAACCCGGATGATGGTAACTGCACGATTTAATGACTTAAGAGAGCATATTTATATTAACTCTCATATTTTGCAAACCGAGCCTATAGCAGCAGGGATCAGAACAGACTTGAGGCCAAGGCGCAAAGCCTCCCTGAACAAATAAACAGAACAGATTTCTTTCTTGCTCAATCCAACATTACTGGCTTCAGGAAAAACAGCACTTTTCCACATAGCTTGCAATCTGTTGCTAATTGTCACATTATAGCACTGGGTGGAGCATTCAACACCCATAGTAACTTTCAGCTGTCTACATCCAAGTCCCTCATTGCTCCTGCAATTATATAAACAAAAGACTGTGGCTGAATATAGTTGCAGAAAGAAAGAGGTCCTTGAAAAGAAAATTGTTAAAATACCTGCCGAGTTCAAGGACAATTTCTCCCAGATTTATGGTATTTGCAAAAATGAAAAAAATATATATCAAAGGTAGAACTTATTTCCAGGCATACTTAGTTAATGTTAGTTAGTTAAAACATACTTAATTTTAGAATTAAAAAATCTTTACAAAACTCAGAAATCAGGTTCCATTCAATGGAGCTGAAATAAAAGTCACGTGATTACACTCTAACAGGGTAACCATGTTTTCCCACGGAGTTCCAAAATATTAAAAACCCTAGTAGCCTATCCCAGAGTTCATATTTGTTGTCACCTCCTGACTGATGTTTCTATCTTTCTTTTATCCTGTTACTACAAACAATGGGAGAAAAATAATGCATATCCATCAAAGACATAAATTGGAATGTACTGGGGAGGACTGATAGGTGTTCTTGTTTGAAAAGCTATTCCATGCAATCTCAAAAACAGCCACCAAAATTACCTGTGTCTATCTATCTACTACTATCTACCCATTTCCATCCAAATTAAATACACTGAAGAAAATAGGCAATAACTCAAACACAAATTGCCATTTGTTTCTGGAATGCCAACTGCGAACTTAAGCACCAAATACAAAATTAGAGCAATTCCTCTGTTATGTTGTTATGATTACTTTTTGCGTAACTATGATTCAGGGCCAACTTTCTTTAAAGGAAAAATGTGCCCAAATTTTAAGGTGTGGAAATTTAAATTAATTTCTGCCATCACTTGCCTGAGAGCTGGAAAGTGCTCTCACTGCATTCAGGTCAGATCCAGAGCAAAAAGTATTTCCTGCACCACGGATAATAAGTCCTTTCCCATCCTTCCAATCTTCTAGTTCAATAATTCTTTCCTGTAGTTCTATCATCATTGTTCCTGCCGTTAAGAGAAAAAACAGTCAAACAGCATCTTTAGGGTATATTTATAACAGCAATTGTTGGCTACATCCACGCATCAGACAACATACTGGCAGCAGCAAGTAACACTGCTGAGATTTGACTATGAAAAACAAATGCACTTGCAAACTCAAGAAAGTGTGTGTGAGTGTGTGTGTGTGTGTATGTGTGTGTGAGATAGAGATAGAGATAGAGAGAGAGAGAGAGAGAGAGAAAGAGAGAGAGAGAGAGAGAGAGAAAGAGAGAGAGAAAGAGAGAAGACTTTGTCCTTGTTCAAGTCAGAATGCCACCACACAACTTGGTAATTAATTTTTTTTCCATAACTGATAGGTATCACTTTTCACATTTAAATTTGCCTGATATCAGACTTTGTTATTACCTGTAAATGCATTCATAAACCTCGGATTGTTCAGTGTAAGGACTCCAATTCCATCATCTTTTTTAGAAAGGTCGACAGAGCCACCCATAAAGTGCTGAAGCTTTTTCTTTATTTCATCTTCTTCAAAACCATGAGTATCGTTATACAGACACAACATTCTTTGCTGGAACAATCTGCTCTTAGGAACCCTGTGGAAATTCTTCCATAATAAAATATTCATATCTGCAAAGGAATACATAGGCAGTGGCAATCTTGTGTATCTCAAATGTATCTCAAGATCAAGCAACTTGTTCTGCTGAAAAAAATTCAACATTTCCTTCAATTTAATAACAAGGTCTCAAAATAGATATAGTGAACAAAAAAGTAACAGAAACTGGTACAAACTAATAGGGAGAACTGTACAAACAGAAACTGGTACAAACTAATAGGGAGAACAAGGACTCTCCTCTAGAGGTAGTCCTTGACTTACAACAGTTCGTTTAGTGACCGTTCGAAGTTACAATGGCACTGAAAAAAGTGACTTATGACCGTTTTTCACACTTATGACCGTTGCAGCATCCCCATGGTCTCGTGATTTACATTCAGATGCTTGACATCCAACTCACATTTATGATGGCTGCAGTGTCCTGGAGTCATAGGATCCCCTTTTGTGACCGTCTGACAAGCAAAGTCAATGTTGGGAAACCAGATTCACTTAACAAATGTGGTGTTGTTGTTAATTTAAGAACTGCCATGATTCACTTCACAAATGAGGTGAGAAAAGTCGTAAAATGGAGCAAAACTCACTTAACAAATTTCCCACTTAGCAACATAAATTTTGGGTTCAATTGTGGTCGTAAGTTGAGGACTACCTGTACATAGGCAAATGGCTAAGAATAAACATGCTAGGTGTAGGCAGGTTTCTGAGTTCTTGGTCACTGATAACAGCCCAGCTTTTACCCTCTTGTTTGTTATCAGTTGAAATAAATCCAGCGATCAATGGAAAGGACTAAGAGAAAGCCCTTTAATCCACACAATAAAGACAACCCTATATAGCAGTGATGGCGAACCTTTTAGAGACTGAGTGCCCAAAAATCACCCCGCCCCCCTGCCCCACCCCTACCCCACCCTGCCCCGCCCACCCACAGGGTCACCCACCGCCTCCACAGCCCATGCAGCAGATTGCTCAGGCAGCCCAGCAGCGCCATGTTGGTCATGCCCTCCGCCCGCACCCCGCAGCATTATCTGCGTGCGATGGGGCGCGAGGGTGGAGTCTTGTCCCCGTTGCCATGTCCTTGGCTGTGCTGCTCTGCGGGGGCCGTGCCCGGGGGCAAGTCTCCTCCAGGGGGGCTGCTGGTGAGGAGGGGGCCACAGGGGGAGGCGAGACTAGGGCGACGGCACAAGTGCCCACATAGAGGGCTCTGAGTGCCGCCTCTGGCACGCATGCCATAGTTTCGCCACCACTGCTACATAGGAATCCTCAGTCTACTGAGTGCATGGAAGGGTATAATCAGCTTCAGTAACTCCATCCTTGACCTCTATGTGAAATCTTTTTTTTTTACAGACAGCTGTACACACCTGTTTTTGTTTAATGTTCAAAATTCAGGTGTAAATTATTTGTGGCTCAAAGCCCACCCAGTCCCAACCCTTGCAGCCTATGTGCAGTTTTGTCACCATGGCTGGACCCAAGTTAGCTTAAATCCCACTTTTACAATAGATAAAACTGTTGTGACTACTTCCACTGTTTTGCTTCCTGTCCCCATCACTTTCTCGGATGTGCTGAGTTTTATGTGAACTGCTTTGACCTGTAGAACTCAGATGTTCTTCTCTCCTGTAAATACTTTCTATTATCATTGTACCACAAACTTGGGCCAAAGAGGCTGCCCTAGCTCTGACATGAGACAGGTAAGACCCCAGTCTGAACTCAGAAGAAGCTACCCAGATGCTTTATTTTTATTGGTTTTTACTTATTTAAACTATTTATATGGCTCTCCATCTCACCACTGTGATTCTAATGGTTAATAAATAGGTCATTCCATCATACAATTAATGAGAAACTACAGCAAACAGCATTCCTTGCCCTTTTGGTGTATAGCCATGCTGGCCACATGACTGTGGAAACTGTCTTCAGACAACGCTGACTCCCTCAGCCAAGGAATGGCGATGAGCACTGTGCCCTTGAGTCAGACATGACTGACAGGGAAACCTTTATTTTTACTTTTACAGCAAACCAACCAAGAGGGTTCACCTAACATCCTGGCCCAAACAACTGAGGAATAACCAAAGCTTTAGTAGGGTCACAGACATCAGGATCTTTAGGAGTGTGCTGTTCCACAGGCAAGCACTATGGCAAGGAATTTACATCTCCCAAGTCCCACAAAATGGTATGGAATGGCTAAAAACTTTACTAGGATGAAGACACTTAAGCATTGCTTGCCTTCTGCCAACATGGAGATCTTTCTTATATCTATAGCACTTGGAGCAAGACTTCTGCTGACTACTGACATAACCGTTATTTCTGTAGTGAGGAACTCTAGCTTGCAACATTATCTTCCACACATCATGCTTATAAAGGAGGCCAAGTTGAACAGACAAATGCAGGAACATATTATTCGTGTCAACAGAATCCAACCAAAAGGAATACATGAAACATGGCAGGCTAAATCTAGTCAGAAGCCTTCTTGATTTAGGAAGAGTTCAGAATTATCTGAATCAAGAGTTTAGAAATCAGAATTCTGAATGTATCTATATGTCTTCCTCTGGATGAAGTTTTTCCCAATATTTATATAACATGAGGATATTTTTCAGTTAACAAGCCTACTGGAACTACAGGCCAGATGTCACTGTCATAGCATATTCACCTCCACACAACGTGCGGTAATAACTTAAAAATCATAATTTATGTGCATATGAGTGAATACAATTTCTGTCCATATAAAAATTGTAAAAAGATTAAAGAGAGACTACAGTAGAATCAAAAGCCTTGCAGCAATTTGTCAGAAAATTGGTGTAATAAGAACCTGATAGTAGAACCCAATTTTATTAAAAAGTAGAGACAGAATGAAGAAAAAATGCAGTCCCCAGACTTCCCATAATAGCAAATGAGAAGCATGAAGATTCAAATTTCCAGCTCTTGTTTCAGATACAATCCCAAATTGAATAGGCTGATCTCTGAATCCACAGAAGTCAGTAGGTTTAATTGCCAATAATCTGCATCAATTTCCTGTGAAGTGCATCTGTCAGTTACCAAGCTATAATAAAAGTTCCCTAATTCTCTGGGGTTGGAGAAGTAGAAAGGGGCTGTAGGAAGAATTAAACCCAAGAATACTCATTCTATGTTTGGAATGAAACTTCACTTTCTATGCAGAATTCATTCAACGGTACAAACCAAGACTACTGCAGTCTGCAACAGAGAAGGGCTCTTCAAAATGCAGCTAGAGTCACAATGGTTGACAGGCTTTTTAGCAACATCACTATGGTAATCACTGTGGGAATTGAAAAGGCAGATGATAAATTGGGCATTATACCAGCTGATACTATGAATCACAATGAAATACTTTAGACCAGATTTCTACTGCAGAATTGCCTTTTCCCACTATTCTATTATGCTAGTCACTGCATGGCATCATCTAAGTCAAGACCCCACAAAGAGAGAGTGAAGCAAGCATAATATTGAACTTTATTCGTTTCGGTTTAAAGTAAAGCATTTTTACAATCACATTACCTCTGAGGGATATTAAGATTAGGAAAAGTAAGGATAGCCACCCTCTCTAGCTCATTCTAAGGTGAATAGTGGAAATAGACAATTTGTTGGTTGTTTTGGTGGGGGGGGGAGGGGGAAGGGATCTTGCCAAGGCATCTCTACGAACTCCTGCTCTCTGCTGCTTTCCATACGAGGAAACCAATTCCAGAGGAAGAACAGAGGTACATTTTATTGAGATAAGCCACAGTACAGGTAGTCTTCAAGTTACGACCACAGTCGAGACCAAATTTTTGTTTGCTAAACAAGGTTGCTTAAACGAGTCGTGCCCAATTTTATGTCCATTTTTGTGTCAGGGTTGTTAAGCGAATCATGCAGTTAAGTGAATCACGTGGCCATTAAGAAAATCCATCTCCCCTCCCCCCTTTGATTTTTGTTTGTCAGAAGCTGGCTGGGAAGATTGCAAATGGTGACCATATAATGCCAAGATGCTTGCCACCCTCATAAATACATATTGGTTGCCAAGTGTCCAAATTCCGATTACATTATCGTGGGGGTGCTGTGGCAGTCGTAAGCGCAAGGAACAGTTGTAAGTCACTTTTTGGAGTGCCATTCGAACAGTCACTAAACGAATGGTTGTAAGTCAAGGGCTACTTGTAATAGAATCTTGCAGGCCTGTGATTGTGCTTTACCTCCCCTCCTGCTTACAACCTTAGTCACAATGAATCAGGGAGGAGCTTGCCTGGATCATTTTTGAACAGAAAAGAACCTTTCCTCATTAGAACATTCAAAGAGATCAGGTCTTGATCTACCTATCAAGAAAACTGTAACTGTGGAAGTTGGACTAGATCAGAGGTCCCCAACCTTTTGGGCATCAGGGATTGGTAACGTGGAGAGAGGTTTTCCGCGGACCAGAGGGTGCATGGTTTTGTGTGCTGCCTGCATCCCGTGGATGGGGCTTTGCTTGTTTGTGCAGACCGGTTGCTGGCATGCTGCGGCCTGGTACTGGTCCACAGACCGGGGGTTGGGGACCCCTGCTCTAGATTATTTTTGGACTAGACCTTCCAACAATAGGGTTACTTTAAAAACTATAATCTTTTCATTTTTTCCTTATGATTTATTGCTATCATTTTCAATTGCTTTTATTGATTCAAAGCTTTGCTGGTTTTTTTGTGTTTTTTTAATTCTAATAATGGAAGAGAGAACTGCCTTTTTGGTAGCTATAAAGTTATTTAATAATTTTGTGGATAGAGGCTTTTTATTTGAAAACAACAACAACACTTTTATGGCTCACATTAGTTTCCTTCCATTTTCCATCTCATGATAAGGAAACCATGTTACCAGTTTTCCGTAAACATGGTCAGAAGGTACTCCAATAGCCAAAAATAAGTGTTAAGGGGCAACATACAGCTCTGGTTGCCCAGTCTCATATTGACAAGGAAGGAATGGGAATGTTCTAATCAGCTGAGGAAAGAAAAACATATTGATGACTTTTGAACATATAGAGAGCAACCCGGGTCTAACCTGTTTCCGCATATAAAAGAGTATGTTCTACCAAA